TCTGCGCCGCGGTCCATACGTGATGGCGGCCCTGAACCGAAGCCATCGAAGACGTCGACAGTACCATTCCCCGCATTTACACGCGCCCAAGCCAGACTAACTCCTAGCAGACATGCCGCTCAGTCGGCCGAGATAGACCGCCGTTGCTCAAGAGGATATACCTGCCGTGTTGAGATTCAGATACGCCTGCCCAAGCACCCGATACCGGCAATCAGCTATCCAACCACGGGCGTCATGATCGTCGGTGAGGGTTACTGATTGTGAACGCTCCGAGTCAGGCATAAGTGGCGTACTATCATCCATATCTCGTTCCCAGCGTCTATCGGTCCTTTCATGCATGGACGGACAATGTCACCCGAAGAGATTCAACTACATACAGAACTGATAACGGCGATTGTTTGGAGACGCGATAGAATCGTCCTTTGTCGCGCAACCTCATATCTTCAGCAACGAGGCGCAATACCTCTGCTCAGCTGAGGTCAACACTTCAACATCTCGACTTTGAGATAGCAATCTCCAAAATGGCCAACAGCTTCATCGCCTATCTTCGAGGCGACCAGAATGCGCCAGGCGAGCGCAAGCTGGTGCAAAAGCTCGACTTCTTCATCCTTACTTTCTGCTGTCTCATGTACTTCCTGAACTATCTTGATCGCACAAACCTCAACAATGCGTATGTTTCTGGCATGAGGGAAGAGTTGAGTTTCAAGGGGAACCAGCTCAATCAAATCAACACCGTTTTCACGGTTGGGTGAGTGAGCATGAGAAAGAGTACACGAGAAACTCTACTAATGTCACAAATCCTTAGATACACCATAGGCCAAGTCCCCTGCAACATAGCCCTCTACTACATCAAACCCCGCTACTTCTTCCCAGCATGCATGGTACATCTCCCCCATCCATCCCCTCCACCCACAAGCCACCCTTCCTAACAAGACCACCAGGTAGCATGGGCCGGCCTAACAATGGTAACAGCCGCCGCGCAAAAGCCGCAAGACATAATGGCCATCCGCTTCTTCCAAGCGCTCTTCGAATCCTCCACCTTTGTAGGAACCCACTACATCCTGGGCTCCTGGTACACAGAAAAAGAGCTAGGGAAAAGATCCGGCATCTTCACTGCTTCGGGCCTGGCTGGCACGATGATAGGCGGTTTTATCCAGACGGGGATTCATAGTAGTATGGATGGGTTGAGGGGGATGAGTGGGTGGAGGTGGTTGTTTAGTAAGTTTTCAAATATATTCATGCATCTACATATACATGTATTAACATCATTCCCAGTAATCGACGGCATCATCACCCTCCCCGTCGCCCTCTATGGCTTCCTCCTCTTCCCCGGTAAGTCCTGGCTATACGAAATGCATGTGAGACATATACTGACTTCGTACCTCTACCTCTGCAGACACCCCCCGCAACACCCGCGCCCCCTACCTCTCCGCCAGCGAGAAGGCGCTCGCGATATCCCGCGTCCCCGAAGTCAGCGAACGAACCCCCATTTCCTTCTCCTTCCTAAAACACTGCTTCAGCACGTGGTACTGGTATTTCTTCGTGATCCTGTGGATCCTCGCCGGGGAAACCGAATCCTTCAGCACAAACGCCTTGCTCCAACTGTACATGCGCTCCCATCCAACGGAAACATACACCGTAGCCCAGAACAACAACTACCCAACCGGAGTACCAGCAGTCGGCATAGCATCCACACTCTTCTGGGCGACCCTCACGGATTTCATGGGCGGAAAACGTTATCTAGTGGGCTACTGGATCGCAGCCACCGGCATCATTACCTCCGCGCTCATCCTCGCCTTTCCGAACTCCACACCCATCCACTTCGGCATGTACTACTGGGCGGGCAGCGTATACGCCTGCCAAGCCACGTTCTTCGCGTGGGCAAACGATGTGCTAAGGTACGAAGAAGATAGTCTCCGTGCCGTGGTGATAGCGAGTATGAATATGGGGAGTAATGCGATTAATGCTTGGTGGAGTATTTTGTTCTACGGGGCGGATATGGCGCCGTATTTTACGAGGGGCATGTGGGCTATGATTGCGGTTAGTATTGGTATGGGGGTGTGGTGTGCGGGCGGGGTTTGGTGGCAGGAGAGGGCTGAGGCGAGGAGGGAGGGGAGTGTTGTGCATGCTGAGGTTAGGGGGAAGGGGGAGGAGGAGGGGAGGTTTGGAGAGGGGGCGGTGGAGGGGGAGAAGGTATAGGGGCTTGGAGATAATGACGTTGTTGTTGTACTTCTACTGAGCGGCTCGGGGAGCTAATACAAACGCCTTGACAACGCCGAATTGTTATGCAATCATACTACCATCCATCCATCAAGAGCACAAGACCTATCCTATCCTATCCTACATCGCTCATATCAACCCCTTATGACACACCACCAAACCTCTGGCTCGCCCTCCCGCCACGCATACTATTCATGAAATCAGCCGAAGGATCACTGCCCAGTCCATTCCACCCATTAGCACCAACACGCTGGCCCTCCCTCTGCGCCTTGTTAATCTTCTCCTGGAGCTGCGAGGCCCCCGAATCGATAAGCTGGAGCTGAGCGAGCTGTGTGTTGAGGACGCGGACGACTTTCGTGAGGGGATCGTCTGGCTTGCCGGTCTTGCTGAGCGTCTGCGATGTGTTATTGATCTCCTCAATCATCTCCGTGAGGTCTTTGTTGAGTTCGTTGAGGCGGTCTTGGAGTTTTTCGGCGAGCTTGTAGCTGGGGGCTTGTTAGTCATTGTGCAAATTTTGAGGGTTATAGATACAACTTACGTCCTCTCACGCTCTTGGTCTGGGCCGCGAAGCGTCTCGTTCTTGCCGCTGACACCGTGCATCTTCATGAGGTTGTCAATCTCCTTCTCGTAGCGATCGAGGTAAGAGTCGAGCTCTTGCTGGTTCTCCTCCATCATCGTTAGCTGCCTCTCGACTTCGGCGGCGTCACGCTCGGCTTGGAAGGTCTTGGAGTATAGTTGGCGGACTTTGTCGGAGTTCTCGACGAGCGCCCTGTCCCATGATGCGACTGTTTCGGCTTGTGATTGGAATTCCTTCTGGTACTTGGATAAGTCGGCGGCCCAGCGGGTGATGATCTCGTCCATGGACTTGTTCTTCAGGCGTGATTGCGCTGAAGGTGCAGGTCCGGCAGTTGACGCAGCAAGTCCGCTTTGGCCTGCATTGTTTCCGCTTGTCGCTCCAGGGGCGGGAGTTGGTTGTGAAGTAGTGTTGGACGACGCTGCTGGTGCTTCGCTTCCTGCAGGCTTGCTGAACAAGCTGGGAGTGGCTCCAGATGTGGTGGTTGTAGCAGCTCCAGAAGCAGCGGATGTAGTGTTTCCGCCTCCCAATCCACTTCCAAGGCTGGGGAATAAGGATGTGTTTGACGATGCGGTTGTCGTAGGCGCACCGCTTGTTGCAGTGGTTGTAGCTCCAGTTGTTGCAGCGGTGCTAGCGGGAGCAGCAGGCTTTGGAAAGCTGAAGCCACCGCCCGTAGATGCTGGGGTGGAAGCTCCCGCAGGCGAGAATAGGCTCGGTGCCGCAGAACCGGATGACGCAGCATTGTTTCCACCCAGACTCAGGCCCGAGGTCGCAGTAGGCTGCGAAGAAGCTGGCGCAGCAGATGAGGTACCCAAGCTAAATCCTCCCAATGGCTTCGCAGGTGTCGAGGAGGGGGTGTTGCTGCCCAGTCCGCCAAATAGCCCACCTGCAGGTTTGGAAGCCTGCGCGTCTTGTGAAGCAGGCGCTGACGGGCCACCTCCGAATAGGCCGCCCGAGGCAGTAGACGCAGGTGCAGCGGGCTTGTTCGCATCGCCCGAGGCGCCTGTGTTTCCTCCTAGGCTGAAGCCGCCTGAAGGCTTCGCGGCAGATTGTCCGGATGCAGCGCCGAATAGACCAGGTGTGGAAGACGCAGAGGTTGCTGCTGGCTTTTGGCCGAACAGCGAGGATGTGCCTCCGCTAGACTGGTTGTTCTGGCCGAATAGACTTCCACCTGGAGGTGCGCCGGCTGGAGTGGTCGAGGGGAGGAAAGACGTCTTGTTTGCTGCTGGCGTAGCTGTTGGTGTCGAGCCTAGACGGCATGTCAGCAGTCGCGTTGGAAGTCACAGATATGCCCAGCTACTCACTACCTGCTCCGCCGAATCCACCAAATGGAGAGCCGGAAGATGCTGGCGCCGCGCCAGTTGAAGCTCCACCGAAGAGTCCACCAGCTGGTTTTGGCGCATCTCCCTCCTTCTTCTGTCCGAAGCCAAAACCGCCGCCGAAACCTGGTGTTGAGGATGGGGCCGGTGTAGCTGAGCCTCCGCCAAACAGACCACCACCAGGCTTGGATGCAGGTGTGTTGGATGCGCCGCCGAAAAGACCGCCTGAGCCGCCTGAATTAGCTGCACCACCGCCAAAGAGGCCGCCGCCGCCGCCGCTGCTAGCTGGTGTGCTCGAGGTGTTGTTTGCGGTGCCGAAGAGAGATGGCGTCGCGCTGCCAGTGGAGGGTGCAGCGCCAAACAGCGACTTCTGAGGAGTGTTGCTGCCGCCGCTGTTGTTGGCAGCGCCGCCGAATGTGAAGCCGCTCATGATGGCGGGTGTGGAGGGTAGCTCTGGTGTTTGTTGTTGATGGGCGCTGGAGCTGTTGTGGTCGGCGAGATATCGAAAACGCGCGAAAGTCTAGTCGTGTCGCGCCCGGGGATGCAATTGTCGGGCCGCTAATGGACGAGGTCAAAGAAATGCGCGTAGTCGTGTATTCTTCTCACGCGCATCGACGTCGCGCCCAAAAGTTAGACAAACAGGTGCAAGGGTCAGGGCTTAGCTCCGGTGAATTGTTGTTCCCACCTTCCCGCTGCTGGAGCGTCCAGACCGCTCGTCCCCGCTAATCGAGCGTGCCTGAACGACGACACGCTCAAGCAACGAGGCGCAGTCTCCTGTCGCCTTCGCAGATCATTCCTCCTCCGCCTCTATAACCGTGACCCAGGTCTCACGACGTCTCCCACAACACACACACCCCGTCGAGTATAGCAACATCAATTGCCTCGACATGCCGGACGAGCTAGCACCACCCCGCAAGAGCGTAGAGCTGGAAGACCCCGGCGCGAAAGAGCTGGGTATGTTGTCTTGCTCATACGGTGTATTCATTCTAACATCACATAGCCGACTCAAGCGATGAGCACTTCTCCGATGCTACCGAAGGCCAGCCTGCACGGTCGGACATGACCTCGCCCATCCCCATCACACGAGTTGAGCGAGTCGACGACGAGCCAGCCCACGGCGAGGTTCCCGGAACAGACGCATACAACATGCGCACCCAAGACGCAGTTCCCGACGAGGTGGAGATTGTACCAGAAGGCGCACGAAGTCGCAGTGCCTCGCGCGTCAGCGTAAACGACAGGCCTCTGACACCAGGAGGAACACCAGTGCCCAAGACAATTGTCGAGAAGATCGACCCCGACCAGCCCAGCTACGGCGATGTTCCCGGTACACTTGCCCACCAGCAACGTCTGGCCGATGCTACGCCTGACGTGGTTGTCAGAGCACCGGAGGAGCCTTCCCAGAGCAGCAATCCAGGTACGTAGGGCATTTTCTTGGTGCCTCCTGCGTACCATTGACGGAAGAAGGGTCACCAACCTCGCATGACAGGTCCCCAATAAGCCCGAGTGACGGCGCAACCGAAGCCGCACCTGAAACACTTGCCGAAGCCGACGCCGACGCCTCGATTGAGCAAGACGACGACTTTGGCAACGCCGACGGTGACGACGATGGTTTTGGCGATTTCGACGACTTTGAAGAAGGCGAAGAGGGTGACGATGATTTTGGGGACTTTGACGATGGGTTTCAGCAAGGCGAGGACGATGCAGAGACATCATTTGATAAGCCCCCAGAACAGCCTCCTGTACCTGTCCCCTCGCCAGGTCCTGTAAGTCGCAGCAATTCTAGTCCACATATACTACTGCCTTGTCCGCTTGCTGTGGTGACAATCTGACTAACCTCTCCTTCTACAGCCCGTCTTAGGCTTTGACCAACTCACATCACTTGAAGATATCGTCTCAGCAACACAGCCATACCTTGATGACATGTACCCTGCACAGGACGGCATACCCACAATATCTACCAATCCCGAGGAAACGCGGTCGATATTCCTCTCAGAACGGAGTCATTCATTATGGACACAACTAGTCGCACCGCCGCCACTACAACCTCCCGACTGGGTCCGCTCGCGCATACGGCGGCTGTTCTTGGTATCCCTAGGTGTACCCGTCGACCTTGACGAGATCCTCCCTGCATCCAAACAAAAGAAGCTCATCCTCCCTTCAATACACATACCCGGCGGCTCACCGCGCCCTTCTTCAGACGGTCGAAATAACGGTGGTCCCTTGGGACGCATCAAGCGCGAGAACGAATCATCCACTTCAGTTGACTCATCAAGTTCAAAACCAGAGCGGAAACGCAAAGGACCGCCACCACCACCCGAACTGGACATCAGCAGTACCATGCAGCTTTGCGCGACAACAGATGCAGCACTGCAAGGGCTGACAGACGAGGAGTTGAAGATGCACATCGACCACCTAAAGGGCCTGCAAGAAAGAGCAAAGGAGGTGTTTGAGTACTGGCAGAAGAGATTAGAAAGTGCACTAGGCGACAAGGATGCCTTTGAGCAAGTCATCGAGAGTCTGGTTGCGCATGCGAAGAAGCTCAGGTAGCCAGTCTCATATTTCTGAAATACAGTTTAATCATATTTCCATTGAGGTAGCCGAGTTTTGGAGATATCGTTTGTATCTGACCCCTTGTGATTCGCCCGTAGATTCAATTCTTGGGTCAAGCGAACCACAGTTGTAACAGAGCTCGCACATTCTAGTGCCAAAATATGTGTTAATAAAAGGGTGGAGGATCTTTTCTTCTCTTCTCTTGGAGTATCTCTTGTAGGAATACACTGCAGGACCCTGTCTTCTGAAAGCTTTCAACTGCCGCAAGAGAGGTTACCATGTCATATACTACTACCAGAACCACGACCACTACCTTTACCACCACCTATACCAGAACCACTAGGACTATCTATACAGAGACCGCGGCTGCTACAAACATCACTGTTATCACAAGTCGTACAAGCCCCGCAAGCACGAGTACCACCACAACTACGACCGCAACCATGCCTTACATCACAATCACCCCGGAGACGCCCAGATCGCGTCAAGTGCCCTACACATCACGCTCAGCCTTCACAAATTTCGGCCTCAAACAGATCCGCACAGATTGCCTCGAGGCACACGACGACAGTTGCTCCATCTGTCTCGAAGCATATTCAGACACCGAACCCGGTACAAAGATTAAAATATGCCGCCATATCTTCCACAGATCCTGTTTAATGACATGGTTGGAGTCATCATCAACATGTCCCATGTGCCGAGCAAAACTATTCGCTCCCGCACTGTCACCATATTGGTCCTATCACCCATTGCCTTCAATGCGGGACCTCCGGATTGATACTACAAGCGAACGTACGAATCCGAGGAGGAACTTGTTTGAGAGGAGGGGTGGGGTTGGGGGCGTTCCTGCGCTACCGCATGCAAGAACGGATACGGAGTTGTCGATGATGGTGGGGAGGGAGGAAAGGGATGGGCCGGATGCGTCTGATGCTTTGGCGACGTGGAGGATGGCGGCTTCTGAGGAGGGGAGGGAGGGGAGGGAGCAGGGGGAGACGCCGCTGGATTATTGATGGGTTTGGGGTGCATGTCTTCTGCAAATGTGTTTTGAAGTTAAGAGATTCCGAACGACTACGTTGTTGGAATGGATGATGTTTGATGGGTTTTGATGTGCATGTATTCTGTAGGCATGTTTTGAAGTTGAGATCCTCCCAATGACTACGTTGTGGCAAAAGAGGATCTAGCACCACGAGTGAGGGATCTGTATTCTGCAAACACATCCTGAAATCGAGAAATGTCGGTCGATAGGCTTGCTCCTGGAAAGTGAGCGTAGAGACTACTTAGTCGCAAGAGAGGATTCAGCACAACTTGTTGGGTGTATGTATTCTGCAAACACGTTTCTGAGTGAAGAGTTTCCAAATTTAGATGGCTTCCTTGTGTATAGTGGAGGGGTCCCTAGGTGGATACATAGAAGGCAAACCGTACTAATTCGTCACGATCCACATGACTGATCTTGGACATGTATATCGTGTTGAGTGTCGTGAAATACCTTGATGTTGCAAAAGCAAATCTAATTTCTGTAGGGTTGTCCGCTGCGTGGAACTTGCTCCCGGGGCGAGGACCCGGGGAGTGTTCGGATGCGCCGACCGGGTTCCCCAATCTTTCCTTGCTTTGGTGCAACGGCGAGTCGATTTTGGACAGCGCAAGAACACGTCCTCGCAGGTTAGCCAGCATGTGCCGGCATCCGCTCAGACACGCTTACTGCAGTCGGCCGGACGGCCGGGAGAGACCCTGAGCGAAGCGACGTGCTTTGTGAACAAGCGTACCCCACCGTACGCACCATCACAGAGCCCCTCTGTCAGCTGTCAGTCAGCGCACGATAAGATATGAGAGTATTGCGATCGATGGCGCTGAAACCACGGCACGAGTACGGCAGGTGCAGTGGCATGCAGATCAAACAGGAGAGCAGCGCAGAGCTGCCGTGGCTAATTTAGAGGCGCCTTCACAGTTGGCCGTGGGCGTTGAAGTCCATGGTGTCCGCGGTGTGGTGCTATGCTAGGCGATGCCTGTTCCGCGCGCCGTTAGCAGCGAATAGGGGTAATTTGCCACACTGGTGGGTGCAGGTGGCTTCGGTCGCACTGCCATTCGTCGCTCTGTTCGTAAACTCGTACGTGCTAAGAGATGGCACGCGGACGGGAAATGCATGGTCACACTTCATTCCGCGGGCCATGACGTCGGCGGTGTGCAGTGGTGTTGTGCTGGAGGGCTGAATTTGCGGTGGTTTGTTCACCAAGTGGCCGTTGGCAGCCATAGTCCGCCCTGTCCGTTTCTGAGCTCGGCCGTGCACGTGTGGACCCACCCGTGCGCGACGTAGCGCTCAACTGTCATCTTCGCGTCCAGTCTGCTTTCCCAACCCGGCAGCATGTCGGGCAATCCTTTTGGCAGTGAGGCAGCATAGTGTAGCACGCTGCGTTGGGCTGGCGTGTTCAGTAACCCGTCTCTCTTCCGCCGCGCTCCCCTCTGCTCCTCCATCGTGTGGCGTGCGGCTATTCTTCACGCTGCCTAGCTGCTAGATCCGCGCTAGCCCTGTTTGAGCCATACTGGATATCCATTCCAGCGGGGCCCCTGCTTGCGCTTCCTCGATACCTCTCGAGTTCATCTCGCGATCCATCAGCATCCTCGCAGCCGTCTGCACCGGCAGACTCTTCAGTCCCTCCTTTGTCCGTGTCCGCCTGCCCTCGCATAGAAACTTGACCCGCCGCACTTCCGTCCTCTCCCCCGTTCCAGATGCGCACATAGCAGCCTTTTGAGCCTCGCACCCTTCCACCCGCCGCCACAATGGCCGCAGAGACGTACTCGAGCGTCTCAGCCATCATCCGCAACCTCGCCCGCCAACATGACCCCACGCGAGACCCCAGCTTCAGCGCACAGGTTTCGGCCAATGGAGCCAAGACGGCGGCCAACGCCATCGCTCTGCCGGGCCCGGAGAGCGAAGAGAAGACACAACTCGAGCAGGAGCTGTCGGCGCTCTGCTCAAGAATAGATTTCCTCGAGCACAAGAGCAGCCACGCCGCGACCAAGCAGGGCCAGTTTCCTTTGACACCCGCACAAGAGCCACCAGAGGAGGGCGTATTATATACACAGGCCGGCGTCGTGCGCGGCAACAACGGCCCACCCGTCCAGGGCCGTCGGGGATCCAACAAGGAGCGCGCCATCTGGGTGTCCAACTGGCTCGCAGCCAAAGAGTCGAATGGCGACCCCGAGCAGCCCGCCGCAGCCCTCACCGAGGAGCAGCTCAACTATCTGCGCGTACACCTGAACCAGCAAGCCGACCAGATAAGGAACCAGCGCGAGCACATTGGTAAGGGCGTGCAAATGGAGTCGCATGCGCTCATTCTGACATCACACAGACAACCTGAGCCAGGAAGTGAACAAGCAGTTGACGACACAGAGCATGGTATTCGAACACGGCATTGAAGACATCGGCGCACTCAAGAGAGAACTCGGCAAACATCAACAGGGTAGGCTCTGCAGCCTCACATAGGCGTTGACACGGCTGACATGTTTAGCCAACTTGGCTTTCCAAAAGGCACTGCGGGAAATCGGCGCCATCGTCACGGCCGTGGCCATGGGTGACTTGAGCAAGAAGGTCTTGATCCATGCTAAGGAGATGGACCCTGAAATCACTCTGTTTAAGCGCACGATCAACACCATGGTGGATCAACTCCAGGAGTTTGCTAGTCAGGTTACATTCCTCGCCCGAGAGGTCGGCACCGAAGGCAGATTGGGCGGTCAAGCCAACCTACCAGGAGTTGCTGGTATTTGGGCTGAGCTGACTGACAGTGGTACGTTGTGATTAGGGTTCCACTATCGGCCCGATGCTAACGTGTCCTGCAGTTAATGGGATGGCCAAGAATCTTACCGACCAGGTGCGAGAGATCGCCGTAGTCACCACCGCAGTCGCCATGGGTGACCTCAGTCGCAAGATTGAACGTCCGGCCCGCGGAGAAATTCTGCAGCTGCAACAGACCATCAACAGCATGGTGGACCAACTGCAGTCGTTTGCGACTGAAGTATCCAAGGTGGCCAGAGATGTCGGTACCGAAGGAAAGCTCGGTGGTCAGGCTGAAATCGCTGGTGTCAAGGGCATGTGGAACGAACTCACAGTGAACGTGAACGCCATGGCTCAAAATCTTACTACACAAGTGCGAGACATTGCCCAAGTGACAACGGCTGTCGCGCAGGGTAACCTCACCCGGAAAGTCGAAGCCGAATGCAAGGGTGAGATTTTGGAACTCAAGAACACGATCAATCGCATGGTGGATCAGCTGCAGCAATTCGCCCATGAAGTCACCAAGATTGCGAGAGAGGTCGGATCCGAGGGTCGCCTTGGTGGCCAAGCTACAGTGCATGGTGTTGAGGGAACCTGGAAAGATCTCACTGAGAATGTGAACGGTATGGCCATGAACCTCACAACACAAGTGCGAGAGATCGCCGAAGTCACTACAGCCGTCGCAAGAGGAGATTTGAGCAGGAAGGTCAAGGCAGAAGTCCAGGGTGAAATTCTGTCCCTCAAGATTACCATCAACACCATGGTGGACCGTCTCAACACATTCGCACAAGAGGTCAGCAAGGTGGCCCGTGAAGTCGGCACAGACGGTATCCTCGGCGGCCAAGCGCAGGTCGACAACGTTGAAGGCAAGTGGAAGGACCTCACCAACAATGTCAACACCATGGCCCAGAACTTGACGCTGCAAGTGCGAAGTATCTCCGAGGTCACACAGGCCATCGCCAAGGGAGATATGAGCCGCAGAGTGCACGTGGACGCCGAAGGAGAGATTCGACTACTCAAAGACACTATCAACGACATGGTTATGAGACTAGACGAATGGTCTCTTGCTGTGAAGCGCGTAGCTCGCGATGTGGGCGTAGACGGAAAGATGGGCGGCCAAGCAGATGTAAGAGACATCGACGGCAGATGGAAAGAGATCACCACAGACGTCAACACCATGGCCCAGAATCTTACGTCCCAAGTGCGCGCTTTCGGCGACATCACTAACGCTGCCATGGAGGGCAAGTTCACCCAAATCACCGTCGAGGCTTCCGGCGAGATGGACGAGCTGAAGCGGAAGATCAACCAGATGGTGTCCAGTTTGCGAGAGAGTATTCAAAGGAACACAGCAGCCAGGGAAGCCGCCGAGTTGGCCAACAAGACCAAGTCCGAGTTCCTCGCCAACATGTCGCACGAGATCCGAACACCCATGAACGGTATCATTGGAATGACCCAGCTTACGCTTGACACCGACCTTACGCACGCACAACGAGAGATGTTGACTATTGTTCATAACCTGGCTGGTCAATTATTGACCATCATCGACGACATTCTCGATATTTCCAAGATTGAGGCCAACCGCATGGTTATGGAAGAGATTCCGTTCTCAATGCGAGGCACAATCTTCAACGCCCTCAAATCTCTGGCATCAAGAGCCAACGAGCGGAAGCTGAACCTCGCCTACGACGTATCCTACAAGGTGCCCGACTACGTTGTGGGTGATTCTTTCAGGTTGAGGCAGATTATCCTCAACTTGGTCGGTAACGCTATCAAGTTTACAGAGCTGGGAGAAGTCAAGGTGGCCATCTCCATGGCGCAAGAGCAAGAATGCGGCCCAGATCACTACGTGTTCCAGTTTGCTGTTTCCGACACTGGAATAGGCATCCGTGGCGACAAGCTCAACCTCATCTTCGACACTTTCCAGCAAGCGGACGGTTCCACTACGAGGAAGTTCGGTGGTACCGGCCTGGGTCTATCCATCTCCAAACGTCTCGTCACCCTAATGGGCGGTCGTATGTGGGTCGAGTCAGACTTTGGCAAGGGCAGTGTGTTCTACTTCACATGCAGAGTACGTCTCGGCACGCCGGAGGTTACCGCCATCCGGCCTCAGCTCGTGGCGTACAAGCAGCACGCCGTCCTCTTTGTCGACCAAGGCAACACTGGCTTCTCGGACCAGATCATTGAGCACCTCAAGACACTTGACCTCGTACCCATGGTGGTCAAGTCGATTGAGGAGGTTCCTGAGACGACGAAGAGGACCGACATGCCCTATGACTGCGTTATCGTTGACAACGACAACACAGCGCGGGAGCTTAGGATTGCAGAACGCTTCAAGTACATTCCTCTCGTCATGCTTACGCCACATGTATGCATCAGCCTCAGATCTGCGCTTGAGAATGGTATTTCGAGCTACATGACAACACCTTGTCTGCCGATCGATTTGGGCAACGCGCTCATCCCCGCACTTGATGGTCGCGCCGCACCTCTTGTGTCGGATCACTCCAAGTCTTTCCAGATTCTCCTAGCCGAAGACAACGCTGTCAACCAGAAGCTTGCTGTCCGGATTTTGGAGAAGTACCACCACAGAGTCACTGTGGCTAACAACGGTCTTGAAGCCTTTGAGCACATTCAGAAGAAGCGCTACGACTGTGTGCTTATGGACGTGCAAATGCCCGTCATGGTGAGTTGAGCCACATTCTTTAATGCAAGTACACCACTAACATCATCTCAGGGCGGTTTCGAAGCCACAGCAAAGATCCGTGAATGGGAGCGTGAGAACGGTATCCCGTCAACACCCGTCATCGCCCTCACAGCGCACGCCATGGTTGGTGATCGCGAGAAGTGTCTCGCTGCACAGATGGATGTACGTTACCATGATATCAAGACCATTTCCTGCTACTAACGCCAATCTCAGGACTACCTATCCAAACCCCTCCGCCAGAACCAACTCATCCAAACAATCCTGCGCTGCGCCACCGTCGGCAGCAGTAGCAGCACAATGTACGACCACACAAGCGAGTCTCGCTACACAGCATCCTCGCACCTCCCCAGCATCAGCGTCCCCGGCCGGGAGAACAACGGCGGCGCCTCCTCATCACAAGGCGGCCTCCCCAGCCCCGGCAAGAAGCGCCCACAGCTCGAAACGCGCGGCTTCACAGAACGCGGAGGCGGAGCGCAAAGCCCAAACCTGCTGGCGGTGGATCAGACGGATAATGGCAGTGTCGAGAGAGTACGTTCCTTGTCCGCTAGTTTGTGAGTAAATTGACCCTAATATGTGTGTGTGTTGTAGCTTTTGCTGCGGAGTCACAGTAGCTGAGAATTTTTTTGTGACGTTTAAAGGAAGAGGAGAAGGCTTGATTAAGCTCACTTGAAGCCCCACCTTGGCCTACAAACACCAAACTACACTCGGATAAAAGCATCGACGACTACTACCGCTATCGGACGATTGTCTCCTCGCGGACAGACGTACTTATCGAAATCATCGGATACCCCGCACATACAACACAACATTTTTAGGCTGGTGGGAGGGAGGGGGCGAAGGTAAAGGTAACATGGATGGGGATTGTGGATGGGGGGTTGGGTTGGTTTGGATTCGGTTTGAATTGGGTTACAGAGTACTGGCGTTTTTTTTTTGAACCTGTCCTTGTTGTCCCTTGTTTGTTGGTTGCTGCTACCCACGAATCTTCTTCTTGTGCGAACCACTTTTTTTTTTGCATATTTGGGCGTTTAGTTCATATGGGTTTGCCTCGGTGGCTTGATTGGCGTGCTGCTGTTGCTCTCGTCGCTGTTGTTGTTGTCGTGGTTGTGTATAGGATACCTTCGCTTTATTCAAAGGATTGCACTTGTGTTCTGGTGGGCTTGAGAGTTGCCCTTGCTACTTCCGCATGCATGTGTCATTTGGGGCGAGAGCGGTAGTGGGGCTGAGAGTTGCTCTTGCTACTATCTCATGGATATGTCACTCTGTTTGGAAAACTGCTAGTTGTGCTCATCGGTGAGGGCGGCCGCGGGCCAAGCGAGGTTCAGCCATACAGCGTCTTGTAATCTCGGGACTTGCTGCCTGCTTCTGTGACTTTGTGACTTTGTAATTATGGGGTGACTAGTAAGTTCGAGTTGTACGGGATATATGCCTCAAGTGATATGTCTAAATCCCACCTACTGCAGCGAACTAGATAATTCGCACACTTGCTTTTTGCCAGGCGCGGGGTGCGAGACCCGCAGACTCGAGGGCTCTGTCACCCACACGAGTATGGGGGCCCGGAATGGGCAATTGCTAATTGCGACGGATATGCTCGCCCATGGCGTCTATTTATGATGGACGTCAAAGCCACTACATGCAGCTAGTTCACTATCTAATTTCGCGTCTCTCGCGCGCCTCGCTTGACGTCGTTGTACATGGATGCACGCCAAGCTCACTACAGGCGTGTTTGCTGACCGGAGCATCAGAACAGGGCAGAAAACAAAGTCCTTCAGCTTTCAGCCTCGTGGCCAACTCAGCAGCTGGGTAGGACTGGGCTTTTTCCACACGCCCTGTGTAGCGTTGGTTTGCAGTATTTTCGCCTGGAGACGTGCTTTCATTGATTTGATTGGTATCGGATGACATCACGCTTCGGCTTAGCAAAGGCTGCCCTTTCTCGGTAACGGCGGAGGGGGACGCGACATGTCGGACTGCGCGCAGTGCCTTTCGCATTATCTTTCCCTGTCGTCAAGTCGTCGCTCAACCCACACCCCACTGCGACAAGGCTATCATGGCCCCAATACGGTAGACGGGAGCGCCTTGTTCGCTTTCCTAGTCTGCTTCTTCTTCAACCCGTGTTCGCTTCTTTGTCGCAACCTCGTTGTTTGCATTTCACAACCTTCTTCGTCGCTTCCTGCTTCGTCGTACGCCTACAAGGTCCGCGCAACCAGACGCGTCGCGCCCACACATCGCAACTGCCTCGACGGCGCCTTCCCTCCCAGCTGAGGCAAGCACGGCTGCCTGATTTCACCAGAATCGTCTCCCCATTCACTTTCATATTCACCGCGTCCTCGCCGCAGCACCGGCAGCGCCTCTCCTACTTAATTCGCCCTGCGCCGCACTGCTGGCGCTTCCCACCCCACCACCACGTCCCCTGGTACAACCGCCGACTCGCTTCCTTCGCATACCTAACCACGGTACCGTCTAGCCCAAGATGGCGTCCGACGGTATGAGCCTCCAAGACAATATTCAGATGCTCGAAGAGGTCCTTCCAGCCATTGATCCCGCTGATCGGCCGGTATACGAGAACATGCTCCAGACGCTATACCAGCAGCGGTCGGCTGAGCAGCACCAAAGCGAGCGCGATGCCCTGGTCACTGCCATCACAGAGAATGGCTTCCAGCCCAACAACGCCATGACCGCATATGGCCAGGTCTTTTCAAACGAGAATGGTGACTGGACACATGCCAACGGAAACAACCACACAAGCTACCATAGCGGCCCGTCATACACCAACGGGTCGTCGTATGGTATGCAAGTACCGCCCTCGCCGCCTCTGCCTGAACCACAACATAGCCGCAAGCGCAGCCTTGGGATAACCGACTACCCCGAAGCCAAGCGTGTCAGCGGGCAGCCTAGTCCGGTAACTCCAACTTCGCCCGTTGGTCCATGGTCACAATCGCTTCCTAGTCGCGAGGCCGCTCGGGTTCGTCACTCTGACCCTATGGACTTTGTCGACCTGACTGAATCGAATCCACCTTCGCCGCCTGGCAATTACGAGCTTCCTATCCATGTACACGCGCAGCCAGATCCCGCCCCACACTATATGGACCCATTCCCGGAGCTCAACAACTATCAGGGAGGAAGTGACAATGGCACCATGCTACCAGCAGATGCGTTCAACCAAGAGTTCATGGCTCCGGAAGAGCTTGCTGAGTTTCTGATCGCACCCAGTGCACCAGGTAGTCATTTCGCTGTGCCGCAGACTTTCCCTTATCAGCCTCGTGCTGAAGCAGATTATCCCGAACACATGCGGGGGTGGAGCAGTGACGGAGAGGAGTATGGCCGCTTCCCGCTCAATGTCAATGAGGCGGAAGACATTGAGAAGCTCTTGCAGAGCATCAGTGCTGGTGTTGACGAAGAGGACAAAGAAAAGCGAGCGCCCACACCCAAGACCATGACTTGTACTTTGAAAGAATATCAGCGCATAGGTCTCACGTGGCTGCTCGACAAGGAGCGCGGCGCGACCAAGGGCAGTATTCTTGCAGACGATATGGGTCTGGGCAAGACCATCCAGGCTCTCGCTCTCATTTGCGCGAATCCGCCCACAGATCCGGCATGCAAGACAACGCTCATCATCGCGCCTGTCGCCCTTATGCGGCAATGGGAGAAGGAGATCGAGCGTCATATCCATCCTCGCCACAAGCTCAAGGTTCACCTCTATCATGGCAGTGGTAAGAACGTTGATTTCGCTCGTCTTCGCCAGTGTGACGTCGTCCTCACCACCTTTGGTTCCCTGACTTCAGAATACAAGCAAAAGGAGTCTTCCAAAGAGGCGATGGCCAACGACGCAGAACTCCGCAATCCTAGCATGCGCCGCAAGGCCAAGGATAGGCTCGCACTGCTAGGACAAGAGTGCATGTGGTATCGTATCATCATCGACGAGGCCCACAATATCAAGAACCGGAACTCCAAGGCGTCCAAGGCGTGCGCTGACCTCATGGCTAAACACCGCTTGTGCATGACTGGTACGCCCATGATGAACAGCGTTGACGAGCTTTTCCCTCTTCTCCGGTTCTTGAAGATGTCGCCGTATACTACATGGACCAAGTATAGCATGGACATTGCAAAGGCAAGTACAGATGACTCTGACTATTGGGTACGATCTTTTACTAACGAAATCTAGGGTTACAAGAGCACTCAGCCACGCGCGCGGACCGGTGCACAGAACCGTCTTCACATCGTAATTAAGGGTATCATGCTCCGGCGTCGGAAAGACGCTGTCGTTGATGGGCAGCCTGTTTCCAAGATCCCTCCCAAGCACTCTGCCATCGATAGTGTGGAGTTCGAAGACGAAGAACATGAGCTCTACAAGGCTCTAGAAACCAAGTCGCAGCTTCAGATGAATAAGTTCCTTGATAAGGGTACTGTCACAAGCAACTACGCCAACGTCTTGGTTCTCCTGCTTCGCCTCCGCCAAGCATGCTGTCATCCGCATCTTATCAAAGACCTCAGTCAACCAGCAACCGAGGCTATCGATGAACACGATCTCTTGAGCCGCGCCAGGGAACTGAGTGATGAGGTCGTCGCGCGACTGAAGGCTAATGAGTCTTTCGATTGCCCGATTTGCCTTGATCTCGATCCGAATCCGACGATCCTCATCCCGTGTGGACATACGGTGTGCGGTGAATGTGTCCAGAAGATCATGGATCCGGCCATGCGAACCGCTCAAGATGGCAATGATGAAGCTGCACCGGCCTTGTGCCCACACTGCCGTGGTGATATCAGCGCCAAACTGATCACAGATTACAAGCACTTCTGCAAGGTCCACTGCCCAGAGCGGCTTGGGTCAGCTGACTTGTCAGAACAAGAGGAGGGCGATGCTGAAGAAGATGACTCTGATTCTGACATCTCCGAAGACGAGGAGGATGCAGTGGATGTCGACAGGAAGGGCAACCTTGCTGGCTTCGTCGTTGACGATGATGAGGAAGACGAATACGTTGCCGATGAGGCGGAAGATGACGACGACGACCTAGGCTCCGCATCTGTGTCCAAGTCTAAGAAGAAGTCAAAGTCAAAGGCAAAGGCAAAGAAGTCTGGCAAGGGCAACAAGGGCAAGGGCAAGGAACGCGCCAAACCCAAGCTTACTCTTGCTCAGCTCAAGAAAGAGTCTCTCCGCAACAAGAGCGCCAAGAAGCGCTACCTGCGTCGCCTGGACAAGACCTTCATTCCGTCTGCGAAGATCAGCAGGACTGTTGAACTGCTCAAAGAGATCAAGGAGAATGATCCGACTGAGAAGACGCTCGTTTTCTCCCAGTTCACTTCCTTGCTCGATCTCGTCGAAGTACCTCTACACCGAGAAAGACTGGCCTACCAGCGCTACGACGGCAGCATGAAGATGGACGAGCGCGCCGACGCCGTAAACGCCTTCATGGACGACCCAAACGAAAACATTATGCTCGTCTCTCTCAAAGCCGGTAACGCGGGTCTCAACCTCTGGAAAGCATCTCAGGTCATTATCCTCGACCCTTTCTGGAACCCCTTCATCGAAGAACAGGCCATCGACCGCGCCCATCGTATGCCCCAGGAGCGTGAAGTATATGTGCACCGCATCATTGTACCGGAGACCGTGGAAGATCGTATCATTGCTATCCAGGATAGGAAGCGTGAGCAGATTGATGCGGCGCTGGATGAGAATGCGTCGAAGAGCCTTACCAAGCTCAGCGTATCAGAGCTGAAGTTCTTGTTTGGTATGGGTGGTGGCTAGTGTGCGCGAGAAAGCTGCGGGCCTCCTCCCTGTTCACACAGCGTTCGCGCTATGGTTTCCTTTCGCTCTTTCCATGTTCGATCTATCGTCTTTTCACCACACATGTTCTTTTTCTAACAACATCTGTTCCCTACCCGCATATTTAGACGCGCAAACACGTGTTTTCGCATTTTTTGATACCCGATCTCGAATGATCAAGGCTTTACCTTCTCTTCTCGGGGAAATGTACATCGGCGTACGATATGGGGTATCTGGCGTTTGATTTCACCCATGCGTTTCACGGCGTATATGGAATGTTCTTCTCCGTCGCGAGCGGAAGGAAGGGGAGTTAGCAAGATATAGCGTAATACAGTGTTTCCAGCAACGAGTTCAAGTGAGATACAAGAAGCATTGCAGGTCATGAATGCCGTTAGTTTGATTTTAGATAACGTGGGTGGGTGTCGGACTTGCCCCTCAAGTCACCTGCGCCTTTTGTATGCAACAACGGAAAGAGCGAGTCCAAGGCCAGGTGCGTCAGCCAAGTAAACAGAGCTAGCTCAACCTCCATGTTATCGCACTCACACGACACCGCTTCCATACCTTCCAGCCGTCCATCCTTTGTCTCATCGCTACAACGACCAGCTTCTTCTACACCCTCTACGTCCTCCGCCTCCGCCGCCCTGCTTGCGATTACCTGCGAGCAGTCGAAGCTGGTCGTCTCATATTCATTTTGCATCTCACCTTCTAGGCCGACATCTCACTCCAACCCTCTAGCAATTCGATCGGCAAACTTCACATGAGCGCGTAAACTGCCGTCATTGGTGTTCACACGTGTTCGCCGTCTCATACAGACCAATCCAATCAATCGTTCACTCAACAACATGACTGAGTCTGAGAACAATGCCTCGAAGGCGTCGATCACTCCCCCAAAGATGACGAAGGCACCGGAACGCAAGAAGCTTGGAACACGAACGACATCGGACAGACTTCCCTGGCTCAGCAACAAAACTTCACAGGCCGTGGCTGCAACGTTCACGGATGGTCAGAACAGCACGACTGTGGAAAGCCCATGCAGCTCGCCTGTAGATGGTCACGAAAGCCCTAAGCCGTCTCCATCACCAAGCATGCGACCTAGCGGCAAGGTGACTCTCGCGACTGGGATTCAGCCCATTATCACGACCAGACCGATGCCACGAAGGAAGTCATCAGTACCAGCAGGTGAACGTCGGGTTCCATCAACAGCTACCAGTAGCCCATCCCCAGTGACGAGACATCGACAAGCCCAAACGCGTCGTTTCTCATTGGCGACTAATACAGTAACGCCGTTAAGGTCAGCGCATCGAACATCCATATCGCAGTCACATGAACCACAAAAGAGGCTTTCTGTCGTAAATATCAAACAAGACGTTGACGAGTCAGGGGTCAACCATGTGCACGATGCTCGCCCTCGCGCTGACAGCCTCGCGCCGGTCCCGAGTCATCTTCAACAGTCCAGCACGTCAGATTGCACCAGCACACCCCCGGCAGTCATCTCTAGAGTCACAATGTCTCCCACGCAACCGGCACCAGCCCGCGTTACCTTCGAGCGGGCGGCAAAACGAAAGATTAGCAACGCAGTAGAAGACTTGGAAGACATGGTACAGGAAGCTGCCGCGGTTGCAGAGGTTGCCGATGATCGGGGCCAAATGGAAGAACTGTACACGATTATCGAAGGGGCGAGAGACGCCGTACACGACGCTACCGCCGAGCCCGAATATCTCATGACAACTGCTCTTCCTCTGAAGGTGTCTGAGTCTTCAAGCTCGCCTTCTCGCACTCACAACATACTCCCGGTTGTCGTTGATCAGACTGTTCTGGATGATATCGCCCCCGACGTCCGTCTGCATGCTGACCTGCCAAGAGCTTCGGTGTCTTACGACTGGGCCTACTCGAATCAGAATGCGCGAAAAGAAAGCAGTTCTTCTACGTCGTCATGTTCGTCTAGTGACCGCAAAAGCGAACGAGACCACCTCCATGCCGATCTGCTTCTGCCCAAGCTCGTTCAGCCAGCTCCGAGAGAACATGTGGATTTTGTCCTCCGTCCTGTGGGTCGAGATGAGTCTCGTGGTCGCTCTCGCCGACGCCACCACGGTGATTCCACACGACACCGACATCGACGCCACCACAGCCCAGAGCTTGTGTGTCGACCCAAGCCTCGGCCCGAACCAAGAGATTCAGGCTTCGGTGAAACCGAGTGCTCATCCGACGAGGATGATGTACCATCGAAACCATATGGCGGCGAACTCACTGTGCGGGAACAGGCACACCATCATACGTTTAGTCTTCATCGACATCACCGTAGACAGCCAATTGCGAGAAACTGGTCTACGGGCAAGAAGCGTCTAACCGCCAGTATTGCATGCATCAACACAGCTCTGCTTGGCATCATCGTCGGTATCTACGCTGGTGAGGTACCTCGTATCCAGTACTCTCTCGCAGACGAACGCCATATCGTGATCATAGGCAATGCAGTACTCTACGCTGGACTTGCCATCTCGACCTTCTTCGCTTGGACACTACCTCTCCTGCACGGACGCAAGCCCTACATTCTCGCTTCTCTAGCGATCGCCTTGCCACTTCAGTTTCCCCAAGCTATTGTTGTAAGCGGCTACCACAACAAGGAGGCAAGGTATCGTGTCGGCCTTCTGCTATCGCGTGGTGTATCTGGTCTCGTCCTCGGTTTCGCAAACGTCAATTACATCACTGTACTGCTTGATCTCTTTGGGGCTTCGCTACAGTCCAAGAATCCGCACCAAGAGTTCGTTGTCGCGAATGATGTCCGCCGCCATGGTGGGGGTATGGGTATGTGGCTGGGTATCTGGTCATGGTGCTGGATTGCTTCCATTGCCGTCGGCTTTCAGATTGGCGCTGCGATCATCGACCGTCTATCGCCGCAGTGGGGATTCTACATTATCGTCGTGATTCTGGCTTTTGCCTTGGTCCTCAACATCACGACTTCGGAAACGCGACGCGCACCCTTTCGGAAGTCTGTAACTGAGGTGTACGACAGAGACGAGAACTATATTACCAGGCGCGTGAGTCGGGGTGAGGTAAAGTTACATATCGAGACCGAGGGACCGAAGTATTGGTTTGAAGAAGTGTGGGCGGGTATCAAGCTCATGACAATGATGCTCTGCCAACCTGGCTTCCTCGTCCTGGCACTCTACCTGGGATGGATCTACGCGCAGGTGGTACTTGTGATTGTCCTTCTCGGCGCTCTCTTGTCGCGAGACTACCGATGGAAACCAACAAAGGTGGGCGCAGGCGTTATATCGATAGCTATTGGCGCCTTCCTCGCCATCCCCTTGACGAAAGCCGGCATCTTCTCCCGTGAGCGGAAAAGTGCGTTCCGCACCGACTCGATGACTTTCCAGAAGCAAGTTACCTGGTCGAGCCATCTTGTCCGCCGCGCCATCTTCACGCTCACGCTTCCGCTGATGGGCATGGCGTACACTGTCTCGTCGGCTAGGTGCCCTCAACCATGGCTTGTACCGATTATCTTCGCTGGCGCCGTAGGATTCCTCAGTATCCTCGCTATAGCCGAGTGCCATGGCCTGATGATGGAGACGTTCGATACATGTGACTTGCAACCTGGAGTCAACACGCGACATCGCTTGCAAAGCATGGCTGTCCAAGATCGCAGGCGAAGGACAAACTACACCTCCTTTCCACGTGTTACTGCTGGTATCTTTGCTAGCCAGATCATTGCCTTCGTCCTCGCCGCTGTCGCGACCATGGTAGGCGGTAACATGACGCGAAGTCTTGGCGCACAAAAGTCCACGGGTGCTACGGCGGGCATTCTCTTTGGCATCACTGTGCTTCTGATCCTTGTTCTCTGTCGCTTCAAGTCCGTACAAGTTATACCCAACCACACATTCGGAACCCGTCGCGACACGGCAGCCTGGCAGGAGTTCAAGGACCTAGAAAAGGTCGGCCGGGGCAGTGACTGGAAAGCTGTTGTGATTGGAAACCCCAGTGGTAAGATGAGAAGGATGAGTGTGCTTGAGCTGGGCGCATTGAGTCGCTGGACTGAGATTAGAAAGTTAAACTTTCTGATCAAAGGTGAGATGTTGGGACAGCCCAAGGAGAAGAAGAGGAGTTTCGATGGTAGTTGGTGATGGTGTTGTGAGGAGATTGTTTACTACTGGAGAAGTGTTGCATAACCTGGAGATGAGTATGACAGTGAAGCACGTATTTTTCATGATACAACTACAAATCTCTCATGAAAGTGACCTCATTGTGACTAGCATGGGATTGTTGAGGTTGTAATGGCAACATGGTTGATCCCCTGAGCCGGCAAGCGGCGACGACGCACGGACTCCGCTGAAAAACCAAGCGTCACTGCCGAGCTCCATCCACCCTCACGAGACGAGCAGACGACCGGCGACACCCCATCTCCCCTCAGTCAATTCGCATCAACATGTCTCTCGCTGCATCACGTGCCGCCATACGGCAATCGACGTTCGCCGTCCGCCGCGCTGGCATCCGCAATGCCTCGACGACCGCCGAAGCCACCAACACTGTAAAGGAAACCGCGTCAAAGGCACAGTCAAAGGCATCAGAGGGTCTCACCAAGGTCACAAGTTCGGCGAGCTCAGCCGCACAGAGTGCCGGTCAAGCCGCCAACAATGCGACACAGCAGGCCACTGGACGGGTAGGAAGGATGGTCAACTTCGTCAACGGTCAGTCACATCATCTCTGCGGCGGGGGAGGGTACCAATTGGCCATGTGCGAATTGCGTGCAGTAGTCTGAGCTGAGAGAGCAAGTTGCGGAGTGCATTGGCTTGTCCGAACAGCTCTACATGGCTTATCAGGCGCAGCCATATTTGCATGGCTCGCTCGAGATAGACGGGTGGCCGCGAGTCGCAGAACAGCTGAAAACTCCAAACTGAACTATCGACTGACATTACCACAGGACTGGTTCCCAAGGCTACCTACTACGGAAGGGTCGGACTCGAGCTCGGCAAGCTTATTGCCCACCA